CGATGGGCTGAATTGCACAAAACGCATGATCGCACCGGCTAGTCTGGTGCGCGTTGCTATTGATTTCTACTTTTTTTCGACTAGCTACATTTGTTGAGGAGGACGAAAACAGAGGGGTTTTATATTTTTTAGTAATGTTTTTCGAGGCCTGGGGATTATATTGGCAAACGGGAGTTAAAAAAATTGCGGTTCAAATAAACGATTAGCATCTAAAATATCTGCGCTCGAGGATGTCATGCTTGTTTTTACTAGCAGTGCTAGCGAAGTGAATGATTCTGCGGGACTCAGCGAGCAAAATAAGACAGTGCGTCTGGAAATCAGTACTTTAAAAACTTGTGTGATGCAGAATACAGGCGTGCTGATAACCAAATCAATTATGAAGTTACAGATTCTTGCATCGTGAAGATAAAAATCTGTCTTCAGGTTTTTCTTTCTCTGCTTCTGCCATTCAAAGTTACATGACCATTCAATATGTCTTAAGGATTGTACCGCATTGTCTAGCCGACTATCTTCCCCACCACAGTTCACTACCAAATTCCACTCTTCCAGTCTTAAAATTTATGGAATTCGGCCGTGCTGGATCTTCTTTGATTTGTGCGGTCCATTATTTGAGAAGGTATGCTTTGGCCTACCAACGGCTGCAAAATATCGCTTGACAGTTTCGGCCTTCCTTTCGACCCTGCTTGGAATGTCCTATTTTGGCTTGGGCTTCTATGGCCCTTCCATTCTACTCATCGGTGTTTCATTCAAAATTTTTGTCGCTCGCATAGACGTGAAGGGCTTTGGCATATATGCGAAGTCCCAACAAAACACAATATTCTCTCATGACAATTCCGTCAAAAAAAAAAGAATTTTTTTAAGGTTATGAGAGAATATGAAGGACGTCAAAGTCAAAGTTATGGAAGAGGTGGAAGAGGAGGAGGACGTGGCGGTGGGCAGCAGCGTGGGTACCGGTAGAATTCTGCAGACTGCCGATAATTTATCGTAGGATGTGCTTGTGCTACGTTTGATTTTTGTTTGTAGCTCGAACATATGGTGATTTCTTCCACGTCACTCAGTTTCTGTTCCCCAACGAACAGTGCCAGAAGTAGTATCATTTATTATAAATTTCGACTTTT